AGTGTTCAGTCATGTGATGTTTTAAGCTCTACCAGAAGCTTATTGCGCTAGGCGATGAATTTTCTGGTTTCTCCAATGCTGATGTGATCGTTCACTCAAATCGTGAACTATCAAAGGGGGTAACAACATTTGAGAGCATCCACCTTGGCATGTAAAGGATGTATGTCATGTGGATTGTTGACCCCAAGCTTTTGTTGTTTTCCAGCAAGCTGAGACCGTGACGCTACANNTTGTTTTGGGTTTGAGTTTTTACAAGGGCTTCATTCTCTTCGCCAGGGACATTAAGAACTCGAGAAGAATGTGGGTCGAGAAATTTACCTCGAAGGCCAAGAGAGCCATTTATGGTTTTGCGGAGGCAGCTCGCTTTTTTTTTGGTTGGTCTTGAAGGAGCACTTGGAAATGGATGGCTGGACTGAGTCAAAGCTGGAGCCTGCCCTCTGCCATCCGTGGGATCTTGAGATGGATTCTAGTCACACATGTTGACGAGCCCAGGCGTTGGAGTTCTCGACGAACCACATCAAGGATTTCATTTTCCGTGGGCGAGAGATCCGCCAGCAGGATGCCGATATTACGCCTTGTCTATGCGCAAGGTGCCCTTTGCTCGAGAGCGGCGCGCGCACTTGGAGGAGCCTTTGTCCAAGGAGGAGAACGACCTCTACTTGAGGTCCTCCGGAGAGTTGGGCTGGATAACTCGGCAACTTCGGTGCGATTTGGCCTTCGAAAATGGCGTGGTGCAGCGAAGCAAGGTGGTCTCGCGAGTGGCAGTTTTGATCCGGTCGAAGCAGTGCTTCGGCTCAGCGCGGCGAGGTGCAGATTTCCGGATGAGGTTTTGGAGGGATGGGAGCTTGAGCAACGGGGTGATAGTTCACCTAGCAGACTCCGGCCATGCCAATGGGACTCCGGAACATGATGAGAAAGTACGGTACCGAAGCGTGGGTGGATACTTCATTCTTGTGGCCAGTGCGGAAAACCGTGAGGACGAACATCCTCGCCTACCATTCAAGCCAGACCAAGCGGGTGCCGCCGGGGCTTCTCATCTCAGTGAAGCCGTGGAAGCTGGAGATTGGATCATAGTCCTGATAGAAGAAGCTTCGTCAGGAAAGCTGGATCTTCGAAACTGGCCAAGCATCATACAGCAGAGGCCCAGGGTATACGTCACTGACGCAAGGTCAGTGTACGACTACCTCCAGCGAGATGCAACTTCGACGTCGTCTGACAAAGCGCGTGGCTATAGTTTTAGAGGGGGCGCTCTTACGTGAAACAGTAAGAGCCCCGAACGCCGCATTCGGTGGATTGATGGTGTGCAAAATATGAGTAACGTGTCAACAAAACACAATGCTGAGAAAGAAACCTTGAAGACCTCTCTCCGAGATGGCATGCTGTCGTTGGTGCAGAGTGACGCCAACATCCGCTTAAGGAGAGGAAACAGACGGAGAGAGCAAAGCGGGGGCAAGTCAAGAAGGACCAGACTGAGCACAGGGCCGAGCAGAGGAAGAAGCGGCTGGGTGGAACGATCAAAGCCGTGAACCCTGATTTCAGTGAATCTCACAGTTGAAACCAAAAATAACCGGTGTGATTGCTGTCCAGATGCGCCAGGCTGCAAGTGTCGTCTTTTGCGTGAATCAGCCGGCTCAAGCCGAATGACTTGCGCGCCTTGATGGCCTGCCTGTTGTGCATAGCTCGGGTCCGCTTAGACTTCACAAATGGAAGCAGAAGCACAGCATTGCGTGGCACACAGACTTGACTTCCATCTGCGGCATAAAATTGTTAGCTAGTGCGCTGTGTGGTCACCTCCCAGTTACCAGTGCGAACTCCGCAGAAGACGAGAGAATGAGAAGGATAGTCCGATAGGCCTGCGCCCCAAAAGATGTTCCTGAATCATGTACCTTGGCTCAGCATGATTTTTCAATGCGAAACTGAGACAATTTCTCTACATGTCGCATTTCACGCCTCTGCAAAGCCGGCTTCGCTCCAAGAACTTCTGTCTTTTGACCACGTGTACGTGTCAAGCCATGAAGCAAGGCTATTCGGGTCTCGCAGTCCGCCCATACCGCTTGCATAGTGTCACACATAGATTGAACGGATTTGCGCGGGGTATTCTTGTGATGCTGGCTTTGCAGAACTGGCGCCCATGTCAAGTGTCATTGGGCACAAAGTCGAGAGCCATGTTGTCGCAATCTTCTGCATCCGCTCCTAACTCCCGTTCCAGTTGATGCAAAGCTGCTGTTACCTCCGTTGCTCAAGGCGCGTCTCACGCAACAGAGCCCCTTTGTGTGCAGCTGTTGCCTAGCTGCTCCAGCCATGTTCTGGGTTAGCTGACGCCTTTCTTTGTTGACGAGTTTGCAAGGCCAAAGTGCAGACGTTCTAGGTACCCCACATATGCACTAGTCACGAAAATGCATATGAACATGCAGAAGATTGTGAGCGTGGTCACAAGATTTGAGATCTTCCCAGCGACCAGCCAGTAAATGGCGGCTGCGTATGGCTTATGCAAGCAGGCATCTGAAGCAGGTCGGAGCTGATCACATCGCCAGCTGAGCTCCGCAAGCTCCATAGGTCTGCAGAACTGCACGGATCAACCGAGCCTCTGAACATTGTCCCTTGGCGCAGATCGTGTGTTGCAGTGCAACATGTCTGTGAGGCAACTTTGGCAGTACACAACCGAAAGCAGAGGAAGATCATCGACGGATCGTATGACTCCAGGGTTGTTTGAGAAGCGCAAGCCTCCGCTTCTAAATCCATGAAACAAGCCAAAGGCCTTCAATCGTCAACCACTGGGATTCATGATGCGCAGGCAGTAACGAAGATGCTATCTTGCTAGCACCTCCACCCATGGGGACACCCTTTGTTTGATTTATAACAACGTCTCCGAGTATGAACATCGAAGAGTTGACATAGAAGCTGAGGAACTGCGCCATCCAATTGAAGCTCATGAAAACACCTTGTTTTCGCTATGGGGCTTCTGCCAAGAAAAGCCCCAGGTAAACTGGCGGGTGCAAGTGACCCGCAACTCAGTGGAAGCTAAGCATGGCATGTTTCAGAAGTGCGGCTCAACGTTTTGCCGCCGACGGATGGTCTCGTGCAGAAGTACATTGCCGAGCCACTCCAACAATTCAGGAATCCATTTCGAGCTGTCACCCAGCAGCTAAAGTGCCAAGCCACAAGATCCCTGTGATTTCAGCTGCCAGAAGCGCCCCAACTGCTCTTCCACGTGGCGCGCGCGTTTCGCAAGGCTTTGTATCATGTCTCTGGAAGCGATTGGCAACTGCTGGCCCTTTAGAAAGTCAAATGGGACCTTTTCGCTCTCCTCAGCACCCTGGAGGCCGAAATGCGGGAGAATGCCTGCTGTCGTACTGAAGCAGACAAAAGCTTCATGTGTGCCACGTACAGCGGAGTCCAGCAGCGGGCACTCATCCGTGCTCTCAGCAAGCTGGACAGCGTGTTTAAGAAGCATGGGGTTGTGAAGCACTTAAGGACAAAGACAGCATCTTGGTTTCGGCTATGAACGGTCTAGGCTGCGACATCAGTTTCTCACCTGCGCTGGTGGAGCCTGCTGTGGCAAAACTTGGAAGCGTGGTGCCTTGCGTTTGCGTCTTGGTCACGGGGACTGCTAGCCCCCGGGCTCTGAACTCGTTGCCATAGACTGTTAAGTGGTTTAGCGATTGCGCTGCGAACTGTGGCAATGTGGCAGTGCCATCGTGCAGCAAGTTGGTCGGCTCGCAGAGAGGCGTGGGGGTCACTTGTGATTGATTTCTGGCCCCCGGGCTGCCCGGCGCAGGGTGCGACACCGGCTTCCGTTGAAGGCGTGCCAGTTCAAAACTTTGATCTCAAGCAAAGCGAAGAAGCAAGCTCACTCCGGCCTGTTGGAGTGCCACGGAATTGTTTTGACTTTGAAGTGGGTTGCCAGAAGTGCAGCGCCACTCCCGTCTGGTGATTTTGGTTGCCAAAGTTGCCACAGGATGTACCAACAAACAAGGCAAAAGTTCAGCTAGGGCTTTGCGAAGAGCTCCTCGAAGCACTGCTGCAATATGTTAGATGTTTGGCTTGCGACAGGCTTGTGTACCTTCCGAAGCAGGTTCTATTACAAAAGGCAAACGCTCTGACCTGAAGCCATCTAGAGCCAAGTCGAAATGGTGGATCTGCAGCAGCTGTCTCGTGGTCAATGCTTCCCTTTAAATGGGCTATGCATTCTGCTTCGTGTGCTTCAAGTGTCAGTAGCTGAAGCGGAATGTGAGAAACCGGAACTCAAGAATCTGTTTTTGTTCTTCAGGCGCCGCGTTTGTCTTTTGTTGGTTCGCTTTCCTCGTGCAGTGTCACCCCGGGTGTACATGTATCCTGTTAGCGCTACCAATAAAGGGATATATGAGAAGGCCTTGGACATGGCACCAAAGCTTCCTCATGGTGCGTACTGGGGGGGGTGTGGGCGAGGGGAAACCCCCCCAAAATGGTGACTCGCGGGCCAGACCCATGTTTTGATGCGGTTTCGGGGTGCTGTTTCGGGTGGATCCAGAACGGGTTCAGAATCGGGACATAAGATGTCGTGTGAGTCGTGTGCAGACCGGCAGCTCAGCATTGACAGGACACGGCAGTGTGTCAATCCATCGCTCGACGAGGTGCCCCTGGTGTTTTTTTTGCCAGCTGGTCACGGCTAAATCGTGCCATCAACCTTCATGTCACCCATCCCGAGCGACTTCATTAGAGGTTGGTCCTTTAGACTGACTTCTCATGTCGCATGAATCGTTTCCTCGCAGCATAGGACGTTTCCTGTATTAGATGAAGATTCACGATCGCTGCGGCGTGATGGTCGCATGCTCTGTGATCGCTGTTGTTCCCAGGTCCGGCGTGGATTCAGCATCCTGGGAATGTTTTGTTCTTCTCGCGCATTTCTGCCTAAATTGTTCCCCAAGAGACACATGTCTCGTGTGCCATGCCTGTGATTCGCCAGCAAGCAGCTAGCCAGTGCTAACAAGTAACTATGCAGTTCTTTGGGCGGGCCTGAGGATTTGATCCGGGCCACATCGCTGGCGCAGGATGTGCTGGACGAGCTCGAGTCCTACTGGGCCGCTTGGCCGCAACCGTTGCTATCGCTGCTGCTCTCATGCAACATGCCATGAGACCAGAGTTAGGACTCAAGCCCAGGCACTGGACACCCGTGAGATGTTGCCTCAGTTTCAGTTTGCCACGACTTACCAGATCTCTGTTCCGCCTGGGCTCAGATGACTCGAGGTCTGATCTGCATTGGCGAGCGCTGATGCAGTTCGAGTATCGTTGGCGGTCGGAGCTCTCCTTTGGCTTGCAAGGCCTCTTCGCTCTGTGCCTGTGTGGGTCTGTACCCAACATGAACACAGAAGAAGATGCCACCCAAACGTCGTATGGAGTGTTTTTCTTCTTTCATTCTTGACCTGCCACGGGCCATTTTGAACGGTGCTGGAAAGGCCACAGACTTGCCTCCTGTGTCCAGCGCAGGAACCCCAAAGCTTGTCGCACGTTGAAGCAAAGGCATCAAAGCAAATTCTTGGCGGTGTTTGTGTGATTGCATATGCATGCTTCCTGGTACTCCGTGTGCTCAAAACGCTGGGCCCCTGAATCATGCCACGAATGGATACCTGTTCACAGACGTCTAAGACTCCTGAAACCTAAGCACCTCTTGCAAACGGCAGGCTTGATCTACGACAGCGCCGTTCGCGAGGCCAAGAGCAGGGCCTCAAAGAGCAACACACAGAACACACACACACTTCTTTTTGGAGAGGCATTCTGCAATTTTTGAGGGGAAGAGGAGTTTTTTCTTGTCTGCAGGTGCTCTCAGCGTGGCTCTCAGACTGTCACAGTGTGCAGTGAAGCTATGCACGGAAGCCACGCGGAATCTGCGCGTATTGAGCAAAGCAGCACTATGCAGCACTGATTGCATTCACTCCTCAACTCAATTTACCCAAGTTGGGAACAGATAGACGTGGCCCTCGGAAAGCAGAACGAACGTGAAAGAAGCGTTGCCGCTCTGACGTGGGCAAGTGTTGCGATGCCTGAGCAGGAGAACGACAGAAGGTTTCATGGTGCATTAAGAGGTTTCAGGCAAAAGGAATAAGGCCTATCAAGTACGATCAATGGGGGGGTGCTCTTTTCCGTGCAGCCTGCGTTGCAGTGGGTAAGTTTCAGCGGTTCTGTGGCCATCATCGAATGTATAGACTCTGTTTATCGACGTAGTATCTGTACGTGTAGGCCATGTGGCGCCTGTACATGTGGACATGCACCATGACATTTCGGATCTGAACACGAGTGGACGCACCAATTCGAGTGTACCGGATTTGCAGGACTACGCGCTGTGCTGAGGCGTTTGCGACGCAGCGCGATCGCGCGGAAAGGGAGCATAAGGGGCTTGCTGCGGCTTGAGAGCGACGTGAGCCGAAGGCCCAGCAAAGGTGCGGGGAACATCGTGTATCAGAAGGATTGAAGGGATGGGTGCTGGAAGGGACAGACTCGGTTAGGCGGCTACACCGGCAGGGTATGCCCTTGCACACCAGGTAGCGAGATATGAGCTACGCGCAGGTACACACTGCGGTGCACACTGCACACTGCACACCCGATTTGGAGAAGGGCCCGGGCTGCGGGCAGTATGGGCAAGGAGCAACAAAGATAGGGCTCATGACGGCCCGTCAGTTCGGTCAAACTAGAACCTGGCTTGGCAATTCTGAAAGCTTGCAGCAGTAGTGATTGGTGAAAGCAACGGAGAGAGGTTTGAAGTTAACCCTCACGCATGGCACGAAAATCAATGGCCAGCCGCAGAAGGAAAAGTACCCGGACTATGACGGCGTGACCAGCAAATGGATGGCCATGTTCACCGTGGACGACGTCCGCATGCTGGTGCAGCTTTTCGGCTTGAACTAGCGGTTGCTCATTCAAAGTAAAGTTCGTTTCCATTCTGTGGTTAACCAGGCTGTTCGAAGATAAGCAGACTGAAATGCTGGACCTAGCTGACCAGTGACTGGGCAAGATTAGTGATGGGCGTGGACGGAGCACGGAGCGTATTTTCTGCAAACTAAGGAGTGGGCTTCCTGCAGGTCACTGGGAAGAAACTTTGTTGAGCGCGGCATTTTGTGCAGCATCAGCATGTCTAGATGGCATTGAGGCCTGCCGGAGGAGCCGATCCTTGACTGTGACCGCGCACCCGGCTGGTGCCCACTGCCGGAGCGGCTCGGACTGCAAGTGGTGAAAGTAGGAGAAAGACGTGCTTCTACGTGCTTCTCTTCTTTTGCTTAGTTTTCTGATTTTGCTGCGCTTTGGAGGCTCCCGGAGCACAGCCGCTTTGCTTCGACCGGCGCCCAGGCGCTCGGAGACCAGGCCTCGCCACAGTCGCCACAGTCGCGACAGTCGCCACAGCTGAAACCCAGACGCGACTCTGAGACTCTGAGACTTGGCAGCAGCCTCGGTGCAGCCTCGGTGCAGGTCTTCCTGGAGTGCCACCCGCACTATGCGCCTAAGATAAATCGATTTCAAGTTCTGAAGAAACCAGCTTGGACATGCGCACTGGCAAGGTGTACGATCTAGGCCTCAAGGCTTTGATGTGCGGCTCGGCCGATGATGGGCACAGATTGAAAGTGGCAGCTCCAGAAGTTCGAGTTGAGGCGGCAACGGCTGCGACGGATTTTTTTCCTGGAGGGCTGTGGATGGCCGCAAGGAGCGAGTTGTGGGTTTCATCTCAGAAGTCGTGCTGCTGAGTTTTTCCACCTTGTCTGAGGCTCAACCCAACATCACTTGCACGCTGATGCTTGGAGGCAGCTGGAGGCAACAGGTGAGCCTTCGATGGGGGTTCGCGCATGAGTCTCGAACTCGCCTGCGCGTTTGGCCAAAAACAATATTCAGACGGAAGTGAGACGAAGGCACTCGAAGCCAAGGAACCGACATTGGTGCCCCGCCTTGCCAACGCTGCAAAATGCTTTCGTGAGTTCTATCGAGCCCATTACTCAGCCAAATGCATAGCAGAACTATGCAGAACTTCAGCAGGCCTTCAGCAAATTCTCTTGTGATCCAAAAAGGCCTCAGCATCGGGCGGTGAACACTGAGGCATGTACAGTAGGGCCGACGTAGGGAATCCTGGAACACGAAGGTTTTGGCTTTTGGCCAGGTCCAGCTCAGCTGCCTCCGAGGCTATCGAAGAGCAGCAGGTACTGCGGTACACTGGCACCCAAATGAAAGAGGTGGATAATTGATAGCCTCTGTAGGCCACAGCTTCGGGCGCTGCGTGGAGTCAAAGCAATGGTGCTCCGGTGACGGACAGTGACCCTCAACCCTCAACTCATTTTTTCTTCTCCTGTTGCAGCCAATCGTGGCATCTCTGACAGGACCTTCAGCACCTTGTACGGAGCCGGTGACCCCAGTAACCAGTGTGTACAAACCGACTGAGAAGAAACTTCTGCACCTGACGGACCCAGGCCAGCAGACTGGCTCCGCTGCGCACCTCGCCAAAACGAGCTTTTCGTATCTTTTCGTCTTTGGTTGCGGCCCACTGGAGCCTTAGGAATTGATCCCGGATTATTGTCCTGCGTGGCCGGGCAACGAGGCGCTTAGAGGCTTACAGGCTTAGGCTTCGTGGAGATCTTAGTGACGTCACCTTGGCGGCCTTGGCCTTAGCAGGTTGGAGGTGCCTACAGCAGCAGCTTGAGGATCCCATCACCCGAGGCCAAGGCGCAGAATTGGTTCACAAAAAGTGCCCCCCCTATACGCTCTGCATCGCTTTGCTTCCAGCGCTAGCTGTACGTCAGGCAGCGCTGGTGAAGGATCCCCTGGCTCATGTCTTCCTACGCCAAGTGCGGCAATTGCCATTGCCCAGCGCTGCTCTAGGCCCCTTGACGACTTCAATTGAGCCCTAACGAGGGTCGAGAATGTGCAGAAGGGGTAGATTTGCATGATGAATGATTAATCACGGCGTTGGTCGGCTCTGGTGCAGGAGCCTGCTTGCAGGAATTGTCGCAATAGCCTGCTTGTAGTGGACTGGGGCTCAAAGCGTTGGATTTTGCGCTTACAAGCAAAATGATGTACTTATTGTTCTGGGTTACCTGAGCGATTGCACTGATCGTCTCAACCTGTCTTCTTAGGTTCAATGAACATGGCGGCCCTACTGACAATTTGCCACGGATTGACCCCCCCTTTTTGTTTCGTGTTCTGGCCTCGCTTAAATCCGAAAAGCAGACCGTTCCAAGGAGCAAACGACCACACACATGTAACTTTCCAAAATCATGGGCGAACCCACATGGTTATCGGTGCAGCCGGGGTTGATTTTGGATAGTGTATGTCTACTGTTGTTTTGTGCATCTCCTGGATAAGAAATGGGTCCGCCAGGCGTAGGGTACCCTTCATTTCTTAGCTGGGCGGTGTTTTCACATTTCCAGAGCCCTGGCTGTAGGGTACCCTTCATCTCTTAGCCCATTTCTTATTCCTGGTTTGAGCCCCTTAAGGTTTGAGAAGTCCGGTGTTGAGAGAGTTGCCTTGTCCATTAGGCCATGGAGCCTCCAACTCCCAATAAGCAATGTAACCACAACCCGAAAACAAGAAATGCAGCACCTACATCTTATTCCCGACATTCTCTGTGGGGTTCGCCTGCCGACCCCCGCGTGCTTTTCCGTCGCGCAAACATTTGGGACGCGCTCGTGTTCGATCAAAAATCGCTCTCGCTCGAGACGTCCTCAAAAAATCGGCGTGTTTTATCGATTTTCGCTCAAAAAATGCAAGCCCTCGCCTTTAAAGTGCTCTTCAAACGGGGGGGTCGGTACCGAACCGCCGCGCTCGTTTTCGTCCAAAAATCGCGATCCTCAAAACCATGACGTTTGTTTATCGATTATCGATCAAAAAAATACAAGCCCTCGCCTTTAAAGTGCTCTTCGTAAGGGGGGGTCGATACCGAACCGGTCGCGCTCGTGATTGTTGAAAATCGCGCTCCCGCGCGAGACATCCTCAAAATTTCGCGTCTTTCGGACTTTGTAAACATTCAAAAATCGCGCTCCCGCGCGAGACAATTCGTTTTTTGACGTTTTGATGATGCTGGTATCATCAACAATCGCGCTCTCGCTCGAGACATCCTCGAAATTCCGTCGATTGATCTTCATCAAAATCGATCAAAATTGTGCTCCCGTGCGGAGCATTCCGAAAATTTTGATCATTTATGAACGATGATGTCGAGGGTTCTACACCAATCCTATGCCAAACGAACGTCGTTCGAGGTGGCTCTCTTGGCTTAAGAGGGAGGTATTTGGCGAAGCTTTCCGGCATAGGATTGGTATAGGATTCGTCGGCATCGTCCACGTTTTGATCATCTTCGTATGTTCAAAAACCGCGCTCCCTTGGCAGACATCCTCGAAATTCTTTATCCAAACCAGTCCCGGAACCGTGGACACAAACAGCACAATCCCGACGGAATGGGATATGATTGTTGGCAACGTGTTGCTCCCAATCAGCAGGCGTCATGCGGACAAGACGGTAACGAGGCCACGTTTGCAACGCAAGCGCTATGGCCCGTACGAAGCCTGGCGCCCACTCAGCCAACAACTTCGAGTCGCCGCTCCAGGGTCCTTTGGGGTCACCTTTTACACCCTGTAGGTCCCTAAGGTCGGGTAGTTAGTGCCTATGGTTGTGGGCTTGTCCAACACGTGGCCTAACGGACCCTGATTAAAGTCGACCTCAAACAGCCCAGCCTCAGCAGCATAGCTTAGCCACATTGGGTTGGACCACCACGACGGGACCTCACCTAACAACGGGTTTCCTGGGGCCATGTACCTTTCAACCTGCTGG